CGGAGGGTGGCATTCAGGCTGCCCGGATCGTTCTGCTTCTTGTCGTGCCACGCTTCGGCCGCCTGAAACAGATTCTGGACTATGGCCCATTGCCCTGTGGAGGCCGTGTCCGCTTCGCCTTCCGGCATTTGGGGCTGCATGGTTGTCTTCAGGAAGACCATGAAGCCCAAGTCCATCTGCAGGTAGGCTATCGTGTCCGCTTGGCGGAGCACAAGCCTCACGAGCTCCTTCATGAGCTCTCGGAGCTCTTTCTCCTTCTTGTTGTCGAGCTCGCTGTCCTGCATCCACCATGGGTGGTCTCCGTACCGGGAAGTATGACCCCAGTCCCGCCTGTTGTAAGGCTTGGGATTGTTTGGCTGACTTGCCTGGCCTCGCTGAGGACTTCGACGAGGGCGGTCCGTTGCCGGAGGCTCCAGGGCTTGTTCCTTGCTGCCCTCTCCTTTGCCCATTGCTTTTTGCCATTTGGAGGGTGGCTCCTCCTTTTCGAGATCCTGCGCGTCCGCTTCCGCCCTCTTGTCCCTCGCCGTGGTGTCCATGTCCGTAGTCGCCGGCTCTTCGGCTTGAGACGCTGCCGTCGACTGAAGGGGAGATTCCGGAACTGCAGGGGCTCTGCTCCCGAAGAGAGGGGGAGTTGGCTTGAGGTGTCCCGCAAACTGGGAGAGCTCCTGCGCCGCACGAAGTAGCTCCTGCTCGTCCGCCATCGTGAAGAGCTTGCTGACCTGGATCACGTAATGAGGAAAAGTGGTTTAGGAAAAGACCACACGTCCAAAGAACAGGACAAGCACGCTGATGTGCCTTCGGAGGCTGCTGGAAGGGCTGCAAACACCAATTGCAGGGCCTGCTGATTACCCGCCGTTCTTGGGCCCACTGACGGATGCAAGTGTCTGATTGAACTATGTCGGCATGTTGTCGACATGCATGTCGTGCAATGTACATGCTGTTGGTGCACTTGTATCTACACACCGGACAGTGTCCATTGTTGATTTCAGTACGCACAAGACTCGCCAGTTGGTCTGTTTGATGGGCCTCGGCGGCTGCTCTGACCTCTGGTCGTTCTAAAAGAGGTAGGCAGTCCTGAGACTCCGGTTTGGGCTGAAACTCATTGGAGTCAGCTTGTTGTGGCTGACTACCCCCCGGTGCGAACACCCCTTCAGCGGGGGTAGCCTGTGTGTTGTCGTGGCCAGGAACTGGAGCCGCATGGTAGATGGGACAGGCCTGTTGATGAAAGTGTCCCATGAAGGCTCTCCATGAGGAGAAATTCTTGCTGCAGTGCTTGCACCTGGGCCTGCCATCCTCTGCATGCTGCATGAAAGCCGTGTTGCGACTGGACTTCTCCGCGTAGCTCTTTTTGGTTTGGGCTTGACTATATTCAGGGTGCGATTTACCAATGTGAGTACGGACGGCATGCAGACTTCCACACGTAACTCCACAAATCGGGCAAGCCGTTGCCTGTTTCAGCATTTGAGTCACTTCGGTGAGGGTGGATCCCGAGGTTTGACTGCCTAGCTGATTATGCCAGTCCTGGGCTGTAAGCTGTGTCCATCGCACCTGTACTGCTTTCGGTTGAATGTGAGACAAGTGGCGACCGGCTGCAGCTATCCGATTGCAGGTCATGTCATGCAGAACTGCAAGAGGGTCTCTTAGATGATGATTGTTCAGAAACTGTTGGTTGGATTCATGGTTGATGTGGGGTGGGCTCCTAGCAGTTAGCCTTAGCTGCTTTATGGCCTGCGTTCGCCGCTGTGTAGCGCTTTGACTGTCAAGTAAGACAGTGGTGAGGCCATAGTACATGACCGTTCTAACACAAGCGACCCACAGCCGGATGCGCGTGGGCACTGGCAGCGCCTTACAAATTAGAACTCGGTGCAGCCGATGAAACGCAACCCACGATTGTTTAATCCTGTACTGAACCGTACTCCTCTCGTATTGGCCATACCCTATTTGAACCCCTAAGTATGTGTGTTCCTTCTTTAGTGGCAAGTTGACCTGGCCTGCCTTGGTGGGTATGCGGAGACTACGACCCGCGCGGGTGGTGTGTATCAGATTTTTGGTTGCCTGCGTAGTCTGCGTACCTCCTAGGGCTAATATGACAACAGTTTTATCAACTGCTATCTGCATTCCCAACGCTGTAAGGTCGTCAATGACTCTGCCAGCCTGTATGCATGCATTACGAAGCTGCAGTCGGGAGTGGATATCCCAAGCTACGTGATAGTCATCTGCGTAGGTGGTTAACTGCTGCTTGCTCAGGTAGGCTTGAAGGCGTTCAAGCGTGAGGAGGGTGAAAGCTGCCCATAGTAGGGGCGCCAGACCACATCCTTGTCGAATGCCAGCCCCCGTTCTGATTTCGGAAGTATACTCATCCCTGCTGAAGACCAACAGCATTTCATAGTGCAGGTACAGGATCAGCGTGAGGAGGTTCTCGGGGGTTCCGATTCTTCTAAGAGCTTCCTCTAGCTTATCTCTGGGCAACCTGTCGAATGCTTTGCTTAGGTCAAGGGATATTTGCATCCCTCCTTGTATGAGAGGCCTTTGACCTGGTTTGTGTGCAAAGGGCTGTGGTCTGGCTGCAGCTACCCGCTGTCGTACAGCCGAACAGTGTGTTTGTACTCTGTCTAATGCATCGTGCATTTGCCTATTGAGAATATAAGCAAATTGTGGCTGTTCGGCCATGGCCGATGCAAGTAGCGGACGGACACGTTGTGCAGCAATCCTTGCCAGTATTTTGGCCACTGCTGGTAGGATGGATATTGGCCGAAGGTTGCTCGGACAGTTGGGTGGTTTGGAGGGTTTGGGGAGGAGAGCAACGAAGGCTCGGTGCCAAGCTGTCGGCATATAGAGTCTGCCCGTCTGGAATCTAGCATCGAAATCCTTGTTTAGAATGGAGACTATGCTTTGATGGCAGCTCGACCATAGCACTGCTGGTGCCTGGTCTGGAGGCAGAGCCTTGCGCTTAGAGAGGGACCCTAGAGCGGATGAGATCTCATCCCGATCTATGTCCAAAGGCTGATGTAGCGTGTATGTGCGGGGTGTGGTTGTGTTAGGTGTGCGGTATAGGGACTGAAAGTAGTTAGTAATTTCTTGTAGGGATTGCTCAGGTGTTAGGAGGTCGAGTTTGGGATGCTTTAAGTGTATTGATCTTTTGGAAGTTTTCGGCTGAAGTTGATGCATGACCTTGTACACATGGGAAAGGCCTTTCGCATCCGCCGCTAGAGCAGTGGCAATGAGCTCCTCGGCTTTAACCTTGCGATTCTGTCTAATTTGCCTGTTGAGGCTCCGCTTATACCTCTGATGCTTTATCTCTGCTTGCCACACACGGAGGAGTGCCGAAAGGTTCCTCTTGGCAGAGCGGAGCTGCAGTGCTGCCTGCAGTTGGCTGGTCCAGCTGACATTGTACAGTCTTTCACACAGGCCAGAGAGGCTAGCACGTACTTCATGCTTGCTGGCCCAGTAGTCTGCCAGGTTGGGGCGATCGGTGTGGGTGGTGGCACCTTGCCTTTTGGTCTGACAGGCCCTATATGCCTCTACGAGTATGGCATCCACCTCTTCGGCCTGAGTTTTGGGCTTCTGAAGCCTGGACTCAGCCATAGCTTGAAAGCGGCTCGCAAAGGTGGCATCTTGCATGGTGCGACAGGCATCTTTGGCAGTGAGAGGCTGGGATTTGCGGGCTGTCTTAGGGATCTTAGGCATGGGTATATGGAGGCGTATGGGGAAGTGCCGCATACCACTTTCTGCAACTACGGGTGCTGTAGGATCTACATGGACCTGGAGGGATGCAATGTCGCATGGCTGGCGCATTAGCACATGGTCAATTTGGACCGGCTGGTCTCGATGATTGACATACGTGGCTGATGCACGTCCTCCTCTCTTCCATGTGTTTACAGCTATCAATCCCTGGCTCTGAACGCAGCCCTGAAAGACTCGTTGATCTTTGTGGGCCGAGCTACGGTGTGGAGACAGTCCTGGTCCTACATGAGGATGCATTTGGCATAGCTCTGAGTTAAAGTCCCCTAGTACAATGAGGCCATTGCGTCTAGGAATGGAGGACGTCCTCTCGAGCTCGCAGTAGCAGAACCTGTGGATCCTCTGATTGGTTCTGGTAAGCTTTCTTCTGCGGGGTCCAGGCATGTTGGTAGACATTCATGATATCTAGGGGCGGGTTGGTGCCTAGGCGTGTGTGTAGCATTCTGCCTGGGATGATTTCCTGATACTGCAGCGTCGGCTTGGGTAGGTTTGGAAACCGAATCAGGGTCATGACACCACTGGAGGTATCTCCTGCACTGCTGGAGATGCATTGCCACTCATGTCGAGTGAATTCAGTGGACAGCGACCAGTGTGTCTCTTGCAGGCATACAACGCACGGCCTGTCATCTATGTTTTCTTGCCATTGCAGCAGCGATTCTAGCTTCAATGCAGAGAGACCTCCACTGTTCCATGTGAGGATTCTGATGTCAGAACACACATGTTCCTGCTGGATGACCGGTGAGGGCCCTTTGGGAGCGGTCTCCGAGGGTCGGGGCTGAGGCGGTTGTTTTGAAACTTGAAGCTGTCCTCGGTACCAGGCTCTACCTAGTCTACAAGCTCTGTTTAAAGCACGCTTGTATGAACGCTTCGCTATTCTTGACAGGTGCGCGAGGTCACGGGGCCAACCTCCGTTGGGTGAAGTCCTGTAGCCTGACCAGCCTGGACTTGCACCAGAAGGAGCACTATGCTCAACAACAGTGTGGTAGGCGTTGGCAGGCGGGACTGCACAGGTGGATGCTGTTCTGGGGAATAACGGGGTATATCGGACTCAGTGTTTAAGTCCGGGCTGAGGCTATCTAGGCTTGGGGCCATTCCTTGGGACATGGCAGTAGGGAAAACATGGTCGTCTCGGTTTGCTTCATGTAAGCAAGTATCAGGTTTTTGGTCTGCTTCAGGGGGTCCGCGACCTGAGATACCCCCAACCCGCACGTCTACGAGCCTAGCTTCAAGCAGTGTGCAGACTTGGCTCTCGTCTCCGGAATTGGGACCGGAGCGGCCCTCAGGAACAAAGCATGTTCGAAGTGTCTCCCTGGCACTACTGAAAAATCTAAGCCTGGCCGAAACGCAGCGTCCCTGGGCTGACTGTCGATCGGTGCGGAAAGGCCTTGATGAAGGTCGTCGAAGTAGGCGGATGTAGTAGTGCAGCAAGCGCCTAAGCGCTGCTTGAAGTCCCAGCGGGGCAATCCTCCTGCTCCTCCGCAATTCGCTTCTTCTTCGCCGGGGTCGAGGTGGCCTCCTGAACCTCCAATGCCGTAGGTGGCGTCTGTGGAAGCACTGAGGAGCTCGAGGCCGCGATTGCCATTGACTCGTCGGCTGTTGGTAGCAATGGCGGTGCTGGCCCATCTGTAGACGAGCTAGCTCTCTCCCCTTGGCGTTCTGCCTCGGCAGCGTGTCCTGGGCTAAGCAGTCGCTGCTGTAGCTCATACTGAGCATACCATCGTTGGAACTTTCCACGCTTGCGTAAGGGCAGCAGGGGCCAGAAAACCTGTAGCACCGCGTGGTATGGAAGGTAGAGGGCTGTGTCCACCGCGATGCGGGCCATTGTTCTGGCCAGGTCCTCCGTCTCCATGTATCTCCTGAATCCCTGGAAAGCCAGCGTTCCAAGGGTTTGAAGAAGTTGGCGCTGCCGTGGGGCAAAAGTTGTTCCTGTACTGAGTATCCAGCGAACATCATTGCGCGG